AGAGGAGGAGAGAGAGAGAGAGAGAGAGAGAGAGAGAGAGAGAGAGAGAGAGAGAGAGAGAGCTCGACCACCTTGTATATCGGTCCGACGACGAGGACCGACGACGTTGTAACGATACCTGTGGCACCTGCAGGTAGGCCCTGCCAGGAGGATGGGGGCCCACGATGGGGGAGTGCCACTGCTCTAACATCACTATCATGCAGCTGTTCCACGAGCTGAAGCAGCAGTTCCCCGCGCTCCCTGATCACGTCGTCTCCCAGTGCATGCCCAGGTATACAGGTGGCCTTTGCCCGTGTCAGGAGTGTGGTCCTATTAAACAAACACCGAACTTCCGCACTCTCAGGCACGAATCTTCACGAGAGAATCTTCGTTCGACTAACTCATCGTTTCAGAATCGCCGCAATAACGACTAACCAGCCAGTGCCTGCAACACGGTTTATACGGCATATACGACTTAACATGGATTAACAATCATGTTCCCTTCCCTCCTTCTTACGTCTCTCGCCTCCCTCGCCTGCGTCATGCATCGCTGAATCTGTTTTGCACGAGCGTGGAACCTGTGTGTACGTTGTTCAAGTGTGTAGGCTCTCTCAGAACCATCGGATGTGCCTTCCGTTCACGTTTGAATTACTCGTTTCGAAGACTTACTTCCTTCGATGACATTCTTCTTAGAAAAGAAAACAAAAAAAACGACGAAGATCATTTTAGTAAAATTTCACTTTCGATTTCAATTTTTAAAAGATCCTTAAAGGATTAAACATTGCAAAAATACGAGGACGTTCCTCTTGCCGGCGAAAAGCTTCGGATTGGCCAAGGAGATTGTTCGGAGGAACATCTGATTTCGGTTTCTGGGATATTATAAATAGAATTCTTTTCCAGCGTACACTTATGTATGCTGTGATACGAGCGATTAACCGTAAGCGATCGTGTGACGCCTTCCTTCCGGAAGGCGGCGACGTCGAAGAGGTACGCGCGCGTCTCCTGGAAACCGGAAACTGACGTCTCGGGGACGATCGGCGGCAAGCTGACTCCTGGTGTACGTGTGCGTTGCAGAACAGTCACGACCGGGAGACATGCGCGAGAAGCCTGCGGGCCACCCAGGAGTCCCGTCCGTCGCCGGGCGCGTTTCCACCCCCGGCCCCCTGTACCGGGGTACAACCGCCTCCGCCGCAACCGCAGCCGCAGCAACCGCAGACGCCACAACGAGAGCAGCAACAACTCGTGTCGCAACAACGTTGCTGCGCGATGAATCAAATGGCGAACAACGTCGTCGCCGGGCGTCCCCATCGACCGGCGTCGTTGGACATCGGTATGACCCGTCGCTACCCTCCCGTAGGCTGCACCCGCAGCACCGCCGCCGCGGCCGTCGCTGTCGCAGTCGCGACGCCGGCGTCGTCCAGCGGCGTCGCCACCCCCTCGTCCGCGCCGGCCGCCTGCACGTCGCGCGGCTTCTTCGACGACGGTTGCAACAGCAGCAACAACGGCAACAACGTGCCGCCCGGCTTCGAGCTTAATGTCAACGTCGCCTGCAGCCCCGCGGGCAATCGCGGTACGGAAAACGGACGTTGACTCCTTGTTAAAGTCGATTTTGTATTCGCATTTTACTTAACGCTGAGAGTTCCAAGTTGTTAATCAAGGAAACTGTATATACTTTCCTGAAATTTAATAAAGATAGCATGGATATTGTATACATGAGCATATCCAGGATTTTTTGGGGAGGGGGAGGGTTATCAATTCTATTAACACATACATAGCAATTTTTTGAGTTAATGAATTGTTTTTTTTTTTTTAGTATTTTATAACTTAGAATATCTTCTCCTTCCTGATTTTGAATGAGAAAAGTATCAGGTTTTGTAAATCATAATCATCATTTTATTTTTTTTTTTTTATAATTACAAAATTCCAGAAATTATTCATAAGTCATAACTGGAGAAATAATATCTTATATATATATATATATATAAAACAGATAATTTACTCGAAATCAAATAATGTCATATTTTATAATTAAAATAAAAGAATGAATAAAAAGTTCGGAGGAGGAGTTTAAACCCTCTCCCCTCTGGATACGCTCATAATCGGAATTTATAACAGTTGAAAACAAAATTAAATTATTTTGGGAAGAGACAATTCGAAAAGAAAACAACTTAAACTTTATGCTGTAGATTGCATTATAATTATTAGAAATTAATTAAATTAAGCGTTAAATATATATATGTGATACGGTCAAGGACATGTAAATTGAGAATTAGATTACGATAGTATTAAATAACAAGGGATCGTGAAATGATAACTATGAGGAGGAGATAGGGCAGGACATAGAAGAGTAATTAAAAGTGAAAGCGGATTGTATAACAACGCCACGCACTCTTCTCGGAAGGCCAATATCTTGCTCTCTCGCAGTGCGCTTGTTTATTGCGGATGTTATTAAAGATAATTCTTATTAATCGCGCTCATAAGCCATGCCTCGATCACATCACCATTCAGTAACTGTTTGGACGGACTAGTTTGCAAGTTGATTTCGATCAGGGGACTTCACCGTCGACTTCTTTGGTTTCAGACAGGCGCTAAAATCACTCGCGAAATTAAGCGAAAAAGAATTCATCTTCAAAAAAAAAATAATATATATATATATATATCTAATCGTGATTTTACATCAACAGATTTTCGAGCGGCATCGACAATCGGTGCCTGTAAACGAAGCGACCTCGTCGTCGTGCCACGACCTCATTACGCCGAACCTCTGCTGGCCATCGGAAAGCCCGAGACGCAGATCGATCACACGCGAAGTTATACCTCGGTTAGCCTGACCCTCCGACCACCCTCTTCCGAGCCGCAACCCCCGATCGATATCAGGTCGGAAGGATCAAGCCTGACGTACTCGACTTCGTCCTTGGATCCGCGCGGCTTTCAAAGCCGCCTACAGATCAGCATCGGTCCTGGAAACGTTGGTAGCGTGGCGGCGGCGAGAATCAGACCGCCGATGTCCAAGTCCTATGTATTACCGCCGTGGACTCAAACAAGTCCGCTGCGGTCGCCTGGTACGTTTTTAGTTTAAAAAAATTTAATTTGGATTTTGTAGTACACCTTCGATGTAAAAGTTCGATTGATATTTTAAATGATTAATAAAAAGAGGTATATTTAATTTCGAAAAAAAAAATCAATTTTAAGTTAGATCCTCCTAAGCATTCGGTAGTCGCCGAACATACGTTGTATTTCAATCATAATTCGTTTGATTGAGAAAATATAAGCATCTTAGACTTGGAAAATAATTTTCATAAAAGGTTAATTTCTGAAATGATATTTATATCAAGGAATAAAAAATGAAATCAATCTTAATGAGAGGCATTGAATTATTAGACACTGCTTACTTTAATATTCTAGAAGAATCTTCTAAATATAAATAAAAATATTTGTCTGGTTTGTCTGGTTGAAAATGTCGCATTTCTTTACTTTGCCACCGTTATTTATTTATTTGATCTTTTTCATAAACATATTTTTCGTCAGTCACGAAATATCACCGACGTAACAAGTAAGAGGTCTGTGATTCGATATCAATCTTCTCAATTTTTCAACTTCAAAATATTTCGACAAATTTTAAATTTCTATAAGTTCTTTTTAATTTCTACACGCCCTTAATTTTTATTATATTTATTATATTTGTTATAATATATCATAGGTAGATGAGTTACGTACTTATGATATATCCTTTTTATGATATATCCTTTTTAATTTGACAATGAAAACAAAATAAATTTCTTTTTAATTATAAAATAAACTATATAGTTACTCTGATCATGTCATATTTCATATCATCGGACACAATATGAATCCTGCATTATTGTGTGCTAAAGTAGCATTATCTGTCATAAAAAAGAATCGATTCTTTAAAAAAAGGAATTGATTCAGTAAAAATCAAGATTTTTAATAATCGATTATTTATCGTCAGAATAATCGATTTTCCAAGAATCGGAAAAAATTTCATTAGTGTCTAGACGCAAGGTATTTCCAGATATCACAATTTGAATTTTAATGAAATTTAATTCGACATCCATGGTGTGTGTGTGTGTGTGTGTGTGTGTGTGTGTGTGTGTGTGTGTGTGTGTGTGTTAT